TTTGTAGCATGGTCAAACGGCATGAAAAATATGCCAGCAGAAAGGATCAGGTACATATTAATCCATCTTCCAATAAGCAAAGTGCTCCCCCCTCCCCTCCACTTCCCAGGGTACCTCCTGGGAAAAACACATGCTATTAATCTGAAACAGTCTTTTCTGGGAATAATTATTAAAACTTTTTTTTCCAATATAGTAAAAGTTTTTTGTTATGCCCTTTGACTAAGGATAGTCAATGAATTATTACTCTCAATTCTTCATAATCTGTTATAAAATTGTACATCCACACCTTTTGTCTTGGACTAAAATGTTCAAAGACTTGATGCCAACAAAGGCTTAAAACATGTTTCAGTAGTTTGGCCTGTTTGTTGCATTCAGGTTATAAGCCATGAAATGTGAGGATAGCCCTGGGAGCTGTGCCCCTTCATGCTAGGTTTCAGGATGAAAATTCTGGAGTGGATCTAACCCAATCTGCAGTTGCAGGCAGGACCAGCCAACCCACAAACTGAAGTAGATGTGGCTGGCCAAGTCTAGCCTAGATCAGAAGTCCAGGTGATCTACAGACCCAATGTGAAAAAAACCACTTAGTGTTATAAGCCCCGCAATAAAACACTGATTTGTTATACAGAACTGTCATGGCAGTAGCTGACCACTACACCCAGTAATCTCATACCTAAGAATTTACCCCAAGGCAATCACAAAGAAACAGGTTCACAATACAAAGGTGTTTATCACAGCAATATTTATATTAATGAAAAACTGGAAACATCCTACCATCAACTAATAAAGGAATAATTAAATAAATTATGATCTATTAGCCAGACCATTAAATATTTGAATCTATTAAATATCATGTTTTTAAGAACACTAAAAAAAGTAAGATATTCATACTTTAAATTTAAAAAGCTTATAAAACAAGATGTACTGTTTTAAAAAATTATATACAAATAGAGAAAAAGGTCACTTGGATAAAATAATTCATTTAAGAAATAAATGTGTGTGTGTGTGTGTTTTTACTAAATGTTATCTTAATATCTATAATATTAAATAAATACTATACTAAGTATTATACTCAAAATAAAGTAAGACAAACATGTTCTCTGATTTCCTGGAAATCACAGTCTAGTGAGAAAGACAAATACTTTAAAAAATGATCACATACATGTAATTCCACACTGTAATAAGCTATTGCGGCAGAAGTTACTAATGGTCCCCAGTATATTTCCCCTTCTTAGTCAGTACCACAGTCCCTGAGTTTTATCTGCCAGTAACCACTTAGGATAGACTACACTTCTGACTTTCCTTGCTCCTAGTTAACTAAATTCTGACCAATGGGATCTAATCTGGAAGTGGCCCGTGCAATTTCCAGTAAACATCCTTAAAAAGAAAGGGCTTGCTCCTTGTTGCTTTCCCCCTTCTTACCAGATGGAGCGGCTATTTTGGACTATGATGTGGAGGCTTCATGCTGAGAATGGCAGGGCAACAGGATAGAAGGAGCCTGGGTTCCCTGACACTGTGGAGCCACTACCACCAGCATAGTCCACCTATAGAACTTTTACATGAGAGAAATAAAATTCTACCTTGTTTAAGCCATTTTCAGTTAGAGTTTTTAGTCATTCACAGCTGAACCTAATGCTAAATGGGATAGCTATAAAGTACAATAAAAGTGAAAGGTTCAAGGAGAGATTATAATAGAAAGTTAATTTTATCAATAACATGAGGATGGGGTTTCAGATATAGGACCTCTGAGGAAGTAACTAAAATGCTACCTGATGCCTGGCCAGAGCGCACCAGGAGAAGGAAAGTGGGGGTGAGGGACAAACTATTCAAGGAAGGAAGGGGAAATTAAAAATGCAACTACTATGACTTAAGCCTGAATCACCACAGGGTCAAGCAACAGATTTTGGGATGTTAATATTGCTTCTACAATGCATTAAAACTACTAAAACAACCAAGTGCTGTGTCCCCAGTATCAAAATCTGTACTCTGACAAGCGAAAGACCACATATGCATGTCAAAAGTGAGAAGGGAGGAATGTAGAATGAAAATAAGCCATGTTAAAGAAATTAATAATTGCTTCCATACTGCAGTATTAATACTGCTTAAAATAGCTGGATTTTCTGATTAGAGAGGTTGATATATCATGAAGAGAATGTCATTAGACTTTTAAATGCTAACTATTCCTGATACAGACAAGAGTTTAGTGTTAAATTTTTTATTATTTCTTGACTATTTCTAGTTATAAAGGAAACATTTATTGTGGAGAATTTAGCATATATATTCAACTACCTGTAAATTCAACACCTTCCAACACTTTATACTGACACTGTTTTTATACACAAGTGCTTACTGTAAGAATTAATGCAATATTTTGTTTTTTAATAAAGCGAAGTAAGAGAATGTATGCATTTATTGTATAATTAAGTTTTCAAGTGGATATAGAAGAAATGCAGGTAGAAAAATGCATATAGAAAAAGAACGGAAACAAATGACAAAGAGTTAATCACTATCAATTCTGGAATATGACATTCTTTGAAGTATTCTGTATTTACATTTTTCCTCACAACCAAAAAATTAATGTTAAATTAAAATACTAGTCATGCAAGTAAGGTAATTCAGATTTTAGTTATTAAAGTTGAAGGAAAATCATTAAGTTTTTCCTAGAGGCTAAGTGGATCTTGTGAGGAGAAAAGACACACAAAAAGCTGAGCATTCAGAATTAACAGTTTGTTCTAAAATAATATTATTTTAAACTAAATATCAATGTTTCATGTTGGAAATAAGTCTGTGGAAGGACCAGCTTTTGAACTTTACGGCTATGTTTCCTCAAGTACTATCCTACCTAAAAATGATACATTTTGTTTTATCAAAAAGGCTGTTTAAATAGTTAAGCAAATAAAACTCCAAGATTGCATTTTAGTTTCTGATTCTAGTTCTTTTTAAATTCTAGTTTCTAAAATCTAAACTTAGTTCAGATGACACAATTTATCACTTGATGGAATGTCTTATGAACATAATGGTTACAATTTTCTATTAAGCTAGACACCTAATGCCGTGTTTCCCCAAAAATAAGACATCCTCCGAAAATAAGTCCTACTTACAGGTTTCCTTCTGAGTGAAATATAAGGCATCCCCCTGAAAATAAGGCCCCTCCTTAGGAGTCACAGGAAATTCTGGAACTGGATTGTTATGATGATGTTCCAGAAGATGATGACATGATTGTCATTGAATAAATGAGTAAATTCTTGATACTGTAGGATTCACAGTTTGTCTGTCTGGTTTGTGTTGACAACTACAATACTACTGTACCATATACAGGTAATAAATTTCCTCTATTTTCATTTAACAATAAATGTGTACCGTATTCTTCTTCATGAAAAAATAAGACATCCCCTGAAAATAAGACCTAGCACAACTTTGGGAGCAAAAATTAATATAAGACACTGTCTTATTTTTGGGGAAACAGGGTAGAAAAAAAATTAAAGAATAAAAAGTTACAGAAACAAAGCAAATCTTTACATCAATGCTCACACAAAAACTTTAAATGTACTTATTTTTAATTGCCCCATTTCCCTCAAATGTAGCCTTAGGTTAACTTTGTGACAACAGACCCCATCCCTTACTCCACTAATCAATTCTCAGCTCGAACATGTGAATTTTCCAGCAAATGACTCATTCATTGGCATCTTGTCAAACTAATCCTGAAACTATAGGAGGCTCAGCGCTAACACAATTCTAAAACTAGAACACTTGCACTAACACACATCATTTTGACTTCAGAGAACTGTCAGAGTCAAATATGTACTAATAAACTCTGTTTATATTTTTCCTTAAAACTTGTTCTCCACCATGCCACCGCCTCCCAATTTTAGTGTGGCAATTCCCTAAACCAAGACACTTACAGTTTCTAGAGAAGACAAGATGGGGAATCATAGTAGTTTAAAACAGGAAGGGGAGGAAAAAGCAGTTGTTCACCCGGCTGGAAAAATATCCTATTCTGAAACAGCAACAACTCATATCTATTCCACATAGTTCTTAAGATTTATTTTTCTCCTCACACACTGTAACAGAATACAAACACAATAAAAAAAAACTCCAAGAATAAATTACCTTCAACGCCCTTATTTCACTAAATAAAAGTTTAAATAACAACATAAAATCAATTACTGAGAACTATTCAGTCAAAAATCTTCAATGAGATATCACTAGCATTAACTATTAATTGCAAATCAACTAATTATTTTGGTTCACACGTTCACCTCCTCCAAAATAGAAAATTGCTCCTTTCAATCAGAGGAAGGGTGAAGCAGGAACAAGAAAACAATGATTTGTCAGATTACCACAGACATTTACTTATAGCTCTATCAATTGTCACACTCCACCTGGTGGCAGGAGCTGCCTGAATTGGTGAAGTGGAGGTCATTATACAAGAAATTCCAGAACATGTTTTCCAGATGTCTTTGGGGAAAAGCAAAATGCTCTTCTCTTGCTCTATATACAATAGAATAAATCTAACAAGGTTCAATCAAAGTTTTTGTCTCATCAATATCTAAAACAGATTAATATAAAAGTATAACAAAAATCAGAATGGGAGACCTGTATTTAGAGTGATCTGTTTACAACCATTCTCTCCATGTTAGTTAAATGTTATTTCAAGTCTTCAGAACAGTAACAAGCATATCCAGCAGCTATCACTTCCACCTACTAACTTTCTTAACCCTTTTCCCTTATGGGTAAAGTATAGAGTTTCATTAACACAGTTAACAGCAGCTTGCCACATTGCTTTTAGATATTTGCCAGTAACACATACCCATGGGATACTCTAGAGACTGATTTCAACCAAAAATAAAAATAGATAAACAGCGCTCAAACAGAATTAAAACTGAGTCTGGCTGCCCACACTTATTTTCACACATGAAGAAAAATAGCAGTTCTCCTAGAGCTTCAAGCAGGCATATCTTTAGAACACAATGTTAAAAATATGCCCCCCCCCCTTCCCCTACCTGTTTCTCACTCAAAGCTGTGATTTTGGCTTGGAGTTCATGAAGTTGTTTCTTTAAATCAGCATTCTGATTGGAAAGAAAAAATATCTGTGAGAAAGATATTTCATTTGTTAACAGAATAGTAGCAAGAAGAGGTTATGCATATTGCATTACAAATGATCAAGCAAACTTAAGCATTTTAGCCAATCAAATTCATCATGCATTAAATTGTAGTCACGTTATCACTGCCTAATGCACAGATCCTAAGTGTAGGCTCCTAACGCCAGAACCAGGGCAGCTCCTTTATAGTGGTTTTAAATTATAGGACGTTTTATATTTTAGCATTATGTAAAATAGTGCACTATTCTACTAAAAATATTGCTATTCTTTGACAGAAAACTCCAAGCTTCACTAATCAAACAAAAGCAGGAAAATGGAAGTTGTATCTTTATTGATAATGCCATTGAGTGGCATTATCAATAAAGATAAAAACCTTGCCTTCTCCCTTATTTAGTAGAGTGTATTTGTTATTTTAGCCTAGATTTAAAAAGCTGTCAGTGCTATAACTGCCTTAACACCATATCATTCAAATTAACATAGCGACTACCAGTGCATTCTCTCAGTTTTAAAATTCTAGGATTCAAAAAAGAATACTATTTTAGATGAGATATACTGAATATGTTTGTGTTTTACTCAAGTGGGACAAAAAAATACAAGATTTAAAAAGCAAGATTAGTGCTTAATATTGGATAGCCTACTAGCACACTGAACACCATCCCAATGAGAGACTACTTTTTCTTCATCATCTCACATGCAATTTTTTCCAATAGCCCTGCCTGGTCTTCTATCAAGTTAGGGCACACATCCTCCCTCTCATGATTATGCCACGGGGTCTTTTTAAAGTAAGAATGTGTGAGTGTGAGTGTGAGTGTGTGTGTGTGTGTGTGTGTGTGTGTGTGTGTGTGTATGCATGTATACTAGAGGCCTAATGCACAAAATGCGTGCAAAAGTGGGCCTTTGCACCCTGGTGGCTACTGGACCCCTCCCTCACAACTGTGGTGCCTGCCTGGATCACTCGCAGCCACAGCTGCAGCCCCGGCTTTGTCCAGAAGGTTGTCTGGAAGGATATCCAGTCTAATTAGCATATTATGCTTTTATTATTATAGACATATAATGAAACCACCCACAAGATTGCCCAACAATATACTGCTCTCTAAGATTTTTTGCATTAAGACTGCTGTTACCTGGCTACCAGCTCTATGGGAAATGCTAATGATTTCTAATAACATTTCAGTTGCTGATATTAAAGGTTATCATCTACATATATAAAAGCCTAAGTGACCATCGCAACCGAATGGACGACCGATCCCCTGTGTGGGGATCAGGCCTTATCCAGAAGTCAGACATCCCCTGAGGGGTCCCGGATTGGAGAGGGTGCAGGGTGGGCTGAGGGCTCTCATCCCCCATGCATGAATTTTATGCACAGGGCCTCTAGTATTAAATATAAAAGAATCTATTAATCTATTAATCTATATCTTGGTTCCCTAAATCTAATTTAAATAGTATCTTTTAAAAGTAAACAAACATGGAGAAGCTTCTCAAAGTTCAAACGTCAACCAGAAATTAAGTGTGGGCTATCAAGTGTTAAAGCACTGGGTACAAAATTTTTGAAATGACTATTATTCCTACTTCCAAAAATCAATCTGTCTCAGTATCATTCCTCAATCCAAGAATTTATTTTACTTAAAGTTACAATGAGGCATGCATGGTATGTTAACAAGCTAAAGATATATACACATACATCTGAGTACCCATCAATGGGTTTAGTTGTTTTGTGACCAGATTATGAGTCAACAAATGCAAGGGAGAAATCCTAAGAGAGTCTGATAAATACTCTCCACACTTATGACCTACTGTCTAAGGCTGCAAAAAAGACACTGCCTGAACAATAAATACAATAATGGAAGACAAGATAATTTTCTGGGAAGATTTCTCTTCAGGGATAGAGAATAAAATGTATAAGTCAAAAACTCCTATGAGAGCCCAACTGGTGTGGTTCAGTGATTGAACGTCAACCCATGAACTAGGAGGTTGCAGTTTCAATTCTCGGTCAGGGCACACGCCTGGGTTACGGGCTTGATCCCCATTGTGAAGTGTGCAGGAGACAGCCAATCAATGATTCTCTCTCAACATTGAGGTTTCTCTCTTTCTCTCCCTTCTTCTCTGAAAGCAATAAAAAAAATATTTTTTAAAAACTCCTATGAGAATTTAAAGAAAATTTAACATTTGCTGGATTAAGGGGCTCTTTCAAAAATAAAAATTAAGTGCTTTTTAAAACGTATTCTAAAATTCTTACCCTGAATATAGTGTGATTAAGTATTTAAATGTTCTGTATTAAATCTCTACTATAAACTGAGAAAATAAGAATGGTTTTGGGCTTTATTCAATAATTTGGGAGTATAGAAAGACTCACAAACTGATTTTGAGTGAGTGGGCATATAGAAATGAAATTTAAGCTCCAAGGAGAGTATAAACTCTCAACTTTCCCTCCCAAATACTCAAAGCAATTAACACAAAAGCAAGTAACAGTAACAAAGATGAAATGATAGCTATATTATAATATAATAACTGGATTTTTCTAAACCCTTAAAATATGAAGACCAATATGCTAATATAATTGCTGCGAGAGATAAGATAGTTTTTAAAAATTTAAGTACTGGTCTATATTTTAATATTCTTATGATTACTTTGCTTTACATTATTTTAATTTAAAAATTAAATGAATTAAAGTAGTATTTTACCTGTGGATCCTGTTTCATTTGAGCAACCAGTTTCTGGTAATAAAGAGAAAAAGAGCCATCAGTCTTTCATATTAACTCACTATGGCAAATCAGGCTTGAGTTTTAAGATCTAGATCTAAATCTAGAGTTTTAAGATTCACACACACAAAAATGAGCAATACAACCATCAGAACAAAAAGCTTCTGTCATCTATATAAAAGGTTAATAAGACACTCCTCTTAATATAGGGTGAAAATCAGAACTACCGCTTTATATTTGAAATGAAATGCTTCTGCTTTTTAACAAGTCTAAAGATGGGATGAGGGTGGGGAATTTAAACAAGCTGGATGCTCCAAAAGCCAAACTCTAAAATGTTGTCACTGGGTAGAGTCCTAACTAAGGCCTACAAAGAAGCTGCTCCCATACAGAACGGGCCTGTCTGTATACAACATGGTGCAGAGGAGCCTAGTGTCAGATCTGACTTTGCCACTGTCTTCTCTATGGGGCAGATAGAATGTACTCTCAGTGGGGCAATGAGGTTCAGAATTTGAAGAGTAAAGAAGTGAAGGAACAATAATGCAAAACTACCTACCTGGGTTCCTCTGGGAGAGTATGCTACCAGAATATTGAATGAGAAAAGACCTTTACTAAGGAAAACAGAATGAAAAACAAAGAAAACTGGATACTGTCTGATCTAAACCAACTTCCAAAAGCATCACTGTCCAAAGATAACCATAATCAGGGAGAAAAGAACCTGAAGGGTAAAGGTGTATCAGAAAGCTGATTCCTAAAAGTTATCTGGAAATAAGCTGTTCCCCAAGTGAATCCACATAACTAAAAATCTGTCCCTCTTTTTGGGTAAACAAGGCACTTTTAAATTGTGATAGTCATAAAATAAAATCTAATATGTGTTATATACTTATCTCCTTTCTTACATTTAAAACTGTCAGCTTAGAGGCCCCACCAATGTGGCTCAACGGCTGAGCATTGACCCATGAACCAGGAGGTCACGGTTCCATTCCAGGTCAGGGCACATACCCAGGCTGTGGGCTCAATTCCCCCAAAGGGGCATGCAGGAGGCAGCCAATCAATTATTCTCTCTCAGTACTTATGTTTCTCTCTCTCTCTCTCTGCCCTCTTCTCTCTCTGAAATTAATTTAAAAGTATTCTTTAAAAACCTGTCAGCTTTTATTGTATAATCTTCAGTAAATGACTTCTAACATTTATTCTAGTTGGTCAAAAGCCTTCCTTCTCATGGTGAGCTACATTCTAGAAAGTTGCCAACCATGTGACCTCTACACAAGCACATGTTACTTCACATGTGAGAGTAGTAACTCTTGTGTATCCTGGTCTTAATAACAAAATAGTAATAACACACATTCCAAGAACTCAGTGAAATTGAACAGCAAGGCTTTTATACATATGCATTTTTACTAACACTGCTTAAAGGCTAACCACACTCTTCAATTTGGGTTTCCTTTTGATTTGATTACCACAGTTGACTATATTAAAATTGCATTTTTAAAGCTAAAACGGATTTTCTTCCACAACACTGGAATTTAAAAACTGACTCATAACCACACTAAGTCTTCACCTCTGAGGAAATAACTTTTCTATCTGTAAGCAGTCACGCTGCATTTTGCATCATCAGAGACAGGACTGAACACGCTGGGCAACTTAACTAGACCATCCAAATCCCCAGGGACTTTAAGGTGACACCGTGTTGTCAAACGTAGGTTACTTTCTATTGCAAGAATACAATTTTTCATGAGGATATACTTTATACTAAGGGTTGGCAAGCTGGCCATCCACCTGTTTTCCTAAATAAAGTTTTACATGGGACCCAGCCCTACCCATTCATTTATATTGTCTATGACTGCTTTGTCTGCATAGCAGCAGGGCAAAGTAGCTGTGACATAGACCGTAAGTGACTTACAAAGTATAAAAATACTTTCATTTACTATCTGGCCCTTTACAGAAAATATCTGCTAACCTCTGCTTTATACTATTCTGCTCCATGTAAAGTAAATACTCTGAAAGTTTAAATATTACTTTTATCAATTCTGCGTAAGGATTAAAAAAAAAAAAGGCAATTTCTCAAAAAATGATAAGATGCCCATCATAAGCCATTATTATTTAAACATTTATCCAACATCAACTATGTGCACGCTGCTACTTTTTAAACCATCTCCCTATCCATAAAAAACAAAAATGGATTTTAGTGAGACAATAGCAGGTAGTTTCATAACATACTTTCTATCCAGTAAGCTCAATCTCAGCTCTAACTTCATCCCATCACTAGAAATGCACCAAGAGGTGAATCATGCCACAGCCTAACACCCAGTGCCTACTTTGGTGTCGTTCCTGGCATCCCTGAACTTGTCATGATTGGTGATTATGCAGGTTACCACATATCTCATCAGAACAACATCATCCAATTTACAAACAAGGCATATCACTTGGGTTTATTTATAAAATTCAAAATTTTTTTAAAAAGAGAAAAGTATTCTAAATGTAACTGGAATAAAAATATAGAGTGTATATGTTAAAATACTATCAATAAATATACTTATCACAAAAACAAAATGTATAATAATTAAGGATGAATATAAATGCTATTAACTTTATACTAAAAATAAACACATAAGAATATAGATACTTAATGTGAATATTAAGATAGTGTTTAGGATAATTTTATGAAGAATATATCCCTTTTGAGTCAACAAATGTAATTTTAAAATGTAAATTAGATTTTAAAACAAATTAAGCATTAAATTTTTCATAATTATTTTCATAAAATTGATACGCTTGAGTTAAAACATGAAACAAAATATTTTAAAACTCTAGTTAATTTTCAGTAATTTAGTTCAATTTAGGTCATAAGTCTTTCATGAAAATCTTATTGGGACTTGTTCAGATCTTGTGAGGATGAGCTAAAAGCAGAATGTCAACTTCACCATCTCAAAATTTCTTGAAAGGAAGATTATCTCCAAAAATCGCATACAACCTCATTATATTATCTCTGATCCATGCAACTTTGATTATTGTTTTCTAGGAATTTATTATACAATGATGTTGGCTTCAAACAAATTGTGAACTTAACTGTCATCATCTGCCATGCAGCCAAATTAGGAATCAGTGCACCTCTATGTTAAAAAAGTTTTGTCCAGCCTGGCCAGCATGGCTCAGTGGTTCAGCATTGACCTATGAACTAGGAGGTCAGGGTTCGATTCCTAGTCTGGGCACATGCCCAAGGTTGCAGGCTCAATCCCCAGTATGGGGGGTGTAGGAGGCAGTCAATCAATAATTCTCTCTCATCAATGATGTTTCTCTTCCTTCCTCTCTGAAATCAATAAAACAATATATTTTTTTAAAATACTTTTGTCCTAAAAAAAGATAAGCTTGTTTTTGTAAACAAATTTTTATTTTCCTCCATTTGTAACAAAAGCAAATGTGATAAAAAGCAAATGGCATGACTGTTGGGCAATAATTGGCTGAAAGATGATTAACAATTTGTACTAAAAATCAGAGATAGGTCTGTTGACTCATCTTAACCATTACTTAATAACATGATGTGGAAGAAGACAATAATGCAACATACCTGGTGAACCTGAATTTCCACTTTAAGAGCTTCCTGTAGAGTCTGCAACTCCATCCTCCACCTTCTCAACTTTCTCTTATATCTGCTAATTCTATAGTTTCTTCAGCCTCCGTTTAAAATAACAAACTCCTCTTCTCACTGCAGCTGCAGAGATCAATCAATGTTTTGGATCATTATATTAGGTATAAAAGAAATATTCATGTTAAATACATTTGTAATAGTTGAAAAATATTTGATTCTCTAGCACAGGACAAGAATTTTCCAAACAGAATTCTTTTTGAAATGAACAGTTTTGTATTTAATTGATATAATAACTTTCTGGGTTTAATAATTTGAACATTCCTCTACACTACAGAACACTTTAAAGAAGTAAGAAAGGGGGGGGGGGAGGGAATAAGTGTTTAACTTGGTCATGAAAACAGCTATGCACCTACTATGTGCTCAGTACCATACTACAAACAGAGCTTAACAAGACCCCTTCTGCCCTAAAGGAGTTGGGAATTTAGAGGCGGAGACTACTGTCATCTCAGACTCACTTCACACTCTGTCCTTAGAAAGAGACACATAGCAACGGGGTCATGCATTTTTTAAACATCACACAGAGGGAACTGGAAAGTTCAGGACCTCTCCAAGATTATAGAAGGCCAAAGTACTTTTTTTTTCGATTGGATTAACTTATACTGTATTTAAAAAAACTTTTTTAAACAGAAAATGGGAAAACTTCACTGAAGTTCACATTCAACAAATTAATACTTAATACAAAGACAAGGCAATGTAACTATGTTTTCCACAAAGTTATAAAAGCAGTATTAAAAATAAATCTATTGTGCCCAACAGATGAGATGGTCTAGCAATGGAACAGACGTTTCCAGCTTTACAATTAACTCTACCTTCTATTTGAGGCTGAGTGCATCTCTTTGGCTATGTGCATAACTGCATGTGGAGAAAGGTCAAAAGTCTAGATGTGTAAATGTGAACCTTCCTATCCTGCTCTGCTCCTCATACTGCAATTTCAATTAATTCAGTGGCTAATTTCTTTTTTAATATTTTTTTTATTTTTTTCTTGCATGTAACTTTTGACATGATTTTGGGTACTCTCCCAAAGCAAAGTTTGCTTTTATCTAAAAAGATTTAAACTTTTCATCTTTGTACCTATAAAACTTGTTAGGGCAACTTTTCAGCATTCTTAGAAACTGAGGAAGGGAACAATCAGTTCCCTTAAACAAAGGGAATGAGATTCATCATCTTTACACCTTCTACAAATTATCTATAATTATTTATCTATGGACATTTCTTTAAAACCTGATTTGACCGTTATAATAAAATAATTTATTACAGACTATGTAGTTGTCAATATTATTTTTTATTATATTTGCTAAACCTCACTAGGCTTAAAACATCACTACTGACAATCTCTCCCCTAGAGCTTATACAATGCTTTGTAGTATCAAAATAATCTAACCTAAAATAACAATAAATTTCAAAAGTGTGAAATTCCTTCAAACTCACTCGTGGAAGCTAGAAAAGGATTATTGTACAGTAATATTATCGACCAAACATTTTATAAAGATATGTTTAGGGGATATAATTTGGAAAAGAAGACATACTTTGATTAACAAACCTGGGCTTTTCTGCTACTTATTATCTTAGAAATTTTTTGGAACTATAATAAACAAACAAACATAAGAATCATTAAGTCACTGACTTAGACCAAGCTTTTTGTTATGTAAGTTTACGTTACATACAAACTCACATGTAAAAACTACACTGCCATTTCAATTTTAAATACTAAAATAATCTCTCTACTAAAATTCTTGACTTACATGTTCAAGTTCTTCCTGAAAACAGTACTTAAATTAGTTTTAATTTTGCAGAATATGTATCAAAAAATGATGTCAATATTTGTCAAATTAAAAATCATCTTGAAGTTACTAGTAAAGGGGTATTTTCAACACCAGAAAGGCCGTATTTTATTTTATTGGTAGTTCAACTCAATTTATACAAACAGCAGGTTAAAAACATGGAGAACTTAGAATATAAACAACAAAGAGTTAACATATTTTACAGTTAAAATGCTCACAAATTAATTTTTAAAAACTTAAAAAACAGTTCACTAAAGAAATAACAATAATCATGAAAAGAATGAAAAACACCCACCTTCAATAGTCATTGAAATGTACATCTTAAGAAGGTAAGTTTTGTCTATCAAACTGACAAAGACTTATAATAATACCATGAGCATTCTAGAGTTTAGGTCAGGTGGTACTTTCACAATTTGCCACTGGTTATCTCAGGGGGGAGGGGCGAGTAGTACTAAGGGTTATTTCTTTTGAATATAAAACTTTCCATATTTTGTTATTTTAAAATATGTACTTATTTTTAAATAACAAAAAATTAACTGAGGAATGCTAGATAAAGCAACAGAAAATTTTATACTGGTGAAATAAAATGTCCAGGAAATGAAAAAGTAAAACCTGGAGGCTCTAAATGTCAGAGTGCCTGGTAGGATAAGAAGCCTGCAGCTCACGTTACTAAGGAGCTGACAGCTTTTACCTCCTTCATCAGATTGTTGTCTACTTATTAGAGATCCACAGACACACACTTTATTTGTCAAGAACTCTAAAGGCCAATTACTCATTTCATTTCAAAATAAAACATTTAAAAGAAGGGTTAAAAAGGTAATGACTTGCTATAGAGAAAAACTTATGGAGGATTACAAGATATATTTGATATCCTTCAAAATGTCTCTCTGTGGACAGCAATTTTAAGAGATTGGTCTCTGCCTAAAGGAACAAATTATATACACATATTTATAGGTTACAAAAACAATGCAAGCACATGTTGAATCCTTCTTAAAAATATTTTGGGGGCTTAGACAACTCATGCAGCTGTCATGTAAAGACCATCTGGGGGCAGTTTATAGCATCATAAAGAAGGTATGATTTTGCTCAGTATAAGAAAGATGATTTATCGTACTTTGACCAACTCTAAAGTTGTAAATAACAAATCAGTTGTATAGTAAAAACAAACAGCTTCACAAAATAGTTAATAGACACACTTTATTGAAGTACAATGCCTTTCACCACCCAACAGCTCTAAATACCACCATCAGAAAGGCCAATTGCCTAGCACAAAATATCAACATTTATTATATATCTCAAACCACTGGGACACCTAATAGCCTCTCACCTTCAAATAATAAAAAACCAAAAACATAGACAAATAAAAACTCCACCCACCAACCATTCCAAACAATAATCAAGTTTCACTGAGAAAGGCAGCTGTGATGTCTGGAAAGAACTCTGTCCCCCAAAACAAACAAACAAACAAACAAAAACAACAATTGATTTCCCTTACTCACCATGTAATCACTCTCAGCCTCAGGGTTTTTAAAATTTGTTTGTATGTTTGCTTATAAATCAGGAAAATTGGAACAGTATAGCCTATTTCATAAAAATGGTATAAGGTTTGAATAAGGTAAATACCACGTGAAAAGCCCTATGTAAATTATAAGGTTCTATGCTATTCCTAACACATTTAGTGCTTTTATTCAGGCACATAACTTAGTTATAAACTTCTCAACACATTAGATTGCGGAGAGGATAGTAGGTTTTCCTATTTTTAATTTTTCTTTTAAAAAAGGCTTTTCCTGGCTAACATCAACAAATCAACAAACGACAAGTGCTAGCGAGGATGTGGAGAAAAAGGAACCCTCTTGCACCACTGGTGGGAATGCAGACTGGTACAGCCACTGTGAAAAACAGTATGGCATTTCCTCAAAAACATTAAAAATGGAACTTATATTTGACCCCAAATCCCACCTCTAGGAATATATCCCAAGAAAACAGAAACACCAATCAGAAAGGATACATGCACCCTATGTTCATAGCTGAAAAATTTACCATAGCTAAGATTTGTAAACAGCCTAAGTGCCCATCAGCAGATGAGTGGATTAGAAAACTGTGGTACATCTACACAGTGGAATACCATGCTGCTGTAGAAAAAAATAAGGAATTCTTACCATTTGCAACAACATGGATGGAACTGGAGAGCATTATGCTTAGCAAAGTAAGTCATTCAGAAAAAGATAAATATCACATGATCTCATTCATTTGTGGAATATAATGAACAACATAAACTGATGAACAAAAATAGAACCAGAATCATAGAAGCATTGAATAGACTGTCCACCTTATGAGGGAAGGTGGGAGGTGAGGGGGTAAGAGATCAACCAAAGGACTTGTATGCATGCATATGAGCATAACTAATAGACACAGATAGTAGGGAAGTTGATGGCATGTGCTGGAGTGTGGGGGCGGCCGGAGAGAGGTCATGGGGGAAAAAGGAGACTTATGTAATACTTTAAACAATAAAGAATTTTTTTAAAAAGGCTTTCCAACTATTTTTCTGGGTATAGTTCTGCTTGGAGATATGTGACTGCCAGGTCTTTCATTATGATTCTAATAAAGTTGTCATGCTGTAACTTTGAATTCGCTGCTAAGAAACACTACTCTGTTCCTGAACTGCTTATAAACCCTTTATCAATCAAAACTCCACTCGTCAACCAAGTTTCTTTAACTAACAGTAAGTCCATAATACACTGTGCTCCCAGATTGAATTCCCTGGAAATGGTTAGCTCTGCGTTCTCTATACTACTGTAGATTACTTGGTGTAAGACTCCACTTTTGCTCTATCATCTCAGAACAGTGTTATGAGTAGGTATAATTTTTTTAAATATAAAAAAGTAGAAAATCTTGACAGATCAATGTATCCTTACTTGTCACATGCCCAATACTAAAATATCAGGTTTTAATTTGTGCAAAATACTATGTATCTAATAGTGTTAAAAATTATTAAGGATGCTAAAAATAAAAATTATTTTAGTAATACTTATTGAAACTAACATTTACTAACAGGAATCAGTAAAAATGACATAAAAACCCAATGCAACATCTGTATTTGTTTTTCATGCTGGTAGCTCTTTGGTGACACTCCACAGGTCAACAACAACAAAAATGCTCCTGCACAGAGCTGGACAATCTTGATTTTAAAAGCTTCTGACAAGGTTACTATATTCAAATCCTGGTATAACTTGCTGACAAAAATCACTTCAGCTAATGAGATTGGTATTTCCAAACCATTAAATTAAATTTCTACACACACACACACACACACACACACACACACACACACGTGTGCGCGTGCGCGCACGCCCCTAGATTTATGATTATCTGAATGTCTGAATGTGTTAGAGGAAAAAATATATACATCTTTCCCGTTTTTTTTTGTGTTTTTTTTTTTTTGGGGGGGGGGGGGGAGGCCAGGTCTTCATTAAAAAAAAAAAAGTAATACTGACGTAGGTCAGACCATTACAATTCAGGGGTGTGAATGTGTTGAGTCAGGTCAACTACCCACAGCACCCTCCTTCCCAGGTCTGGGCAGTGTCCTGCACTTCTCCTTTCCACCAGCGTTCACTCTAACATCCCGTTTCTACCTCAGCTTCCTGGGCCCAGGCCTCGCTGACACACACACACTCTTCTGTAAACACCTTTTTTTTACAGAAACCAAGCATGTTTACTAAAATCATCCCAACTATACCCAAAAGCCAGAATGTTGACATCAACTTAAAAATTCACAGAAATTAAAAATGAAGAAGGCTGGAGAGCAGTGTATAAGAGCATAGTGACAATGAGGCTAAAATTTTAGAATAGGTTGCCACATTTACCAGAATACTACTTAATAAAAATAAAAAAAGAGTCCAGACAAGCACGGCCAGAATCATATACATATTTGCTACACAAAGATTAACACAGAGGATATGCGGTCTTGGCATAACCAGTAAGTACTTAATAGAAGTGGAAGATACGGGAGATAGATTTCAAATCAATTTAAGGAAGAGCTAAGGATTAGAGCTGTACAAAAAAGGAATGGGTTACCTTATGAGGTAGTGGGCTCCCTGTCATTAGAAGTATTCAAGAATGCTGCATATCATATCCCCCTCTTGGAGATTCACAATGCACATTAGCATATTAAAGGTTCTGAGAAGTCCTGCAGTAAAGAAACCTGTTTAACTTTAATGCAGCATTTCCCAAATTATTTGACTACAGAACATTTTCCCACCCCCACCCAGCCTCAGTAATATTTATTCATTTCTGTGGAACTAGAGTTCCTCAGAATACATTATAGAAAATAATGAGCTACATTTTTAAATAACTGTAATATTCAATATGTACCCGAATAACAATCTGTTGGGTATATAGAAAAAGAAATTGCCACATCGGGTAAAAGGCTGGAAGAGAGGGCCTCTTAAGGTCCCTTTTCTAAAATTGTATGATTCTATCACATCTCAGAGTAAAGGGCTTTGGGGTCTTGATTATTTATTTTAAAAGGTTCCATGAGAGAAAGGCAAGTAAAATAAAAAGGAGTAAATACAAGGTTAACTGGTTCAAATGCCTCCCTTTCATGTTCAAATCCCAATCCCTACAAGGAAAGAAAGACACCTCAAAGACCCTAAGTTATCAAAAAGAAGCCTTAACCAAATATCTACTCCACACATTAAGTTAATTACTATTTGAGAGAGAGAATTAAAACAAAACAACAAAAAAAAATCAAAAAGGATAGCTTTGCATTAGGGGACTACCCAATTCCAGCTATCTTGTTTGAATGTAATTTTTTATCATAATACATGCTATCCAAATAAGGTTAATATTTGTTTGATCCTTAGTCACTAGACTGCCCTGAGCAATCTGTGATTCTGAATTAGACATTCAAAGAAATGATTAAGTGTGATTTATAAGCTGTTAAAGTAGGTTTTAAAGTAGATATTTGAGAAAAAAAATATTTACCCAAATGGCCCACACCGCTACATTTTTTTCCCTCTTTAAGAATTATACAAAACAACACACATTAAAAATGCAGTATCTATCATAAAGCCAATCTAACATTAAATTTAAGAATATAAATGCTTAAGAGCCCCAAATTTCAAAGTTAAGGTTCCCATAGTTACATTAACCTAGCCATTTTGCACATATACTAAGGCCAGGAAATTTAACAGCATATTAAGTAATACAAAACACAATGGGAACCTTAACTTTTGAATTTCCTGACTTTTGAATTTTCAGCTCTAACCACTGCATTAAGGACATTTGACACAGGGAACCTTTACATTTTAACAGGTTATCGAATGCAGGAACATGCAAGCCTAGCAGTATGATTAGAAACACAAATGCATTTGAGAACTTGTTGCAAATAGCAAAGTCTCTTTTCTGGTAAGAAAGCTTTATTGCAAAAATTCACGGGACATTTGAATTATTATCCAACTAGCATCAGTAACACTCTGCCTCTGTGGCAAAAGTACTTACCAATTTGGGGGAAACTGGCCCTCCTTCAGCACTCTTGCTCCCTAGAACAGAAGAAGGGGAAAATAGAATTAGATGACAAACACAGATTTATGACATGTCATCAAAAGCTGAAGACTTAAAGATCTCTATCTAATTTTAAAGGGGGAAAAACGAAACACAAAAATTTCCAAAGCACTAAAACCCAAAAGAAAGAAAGGGATAGGTAGTTTATACAGCAAGAAAGAATTCAAGCAATTAAATCTCTAATTTTCCAGTTTTTCACTTTTCCACTTTTTTCGAGACAAGGAAAAGTTGATGATTTCCCTTTCCTAAGTGACACACAGAAATGAATGCATCTCAACTAAACAACACACAAATACGCTCTCGTGCCCAATAAATGACCTTCACTGTTTGTTGTTTTATATTAACAAACTGAGCTATCATCATTGGCCCTTAGTTTGGTCTACAAAAAAGGCCTTTTTTCAATTAATCTTAAAATGACTTGTCTTCTATGAGACTTTAAAATTCACAGCATTTTATTTGTATAGTCATAATTTTAACTAAACTTTTTATTCAGTCTTAAAATCTCACTGTTTTAGACTATAAACTATGTAACATAAAAGTGACTTTCATCAGTAGTAAAACCAGGAAAAAATAATCAAGGTTTTGGGATCCCAATCCAATGCCCAATGTTGCTTTTATTAACTGTGTTTTCAAAAGATTGATAAACTTCATTAAGTTGACTTCAAGGTCAGAAAAGTCAAGCCTGGCTATACTTTACTTTTAACTATTCCTGCCCCAAATTTATCTCTCAAAAAAAAAAAAATAAATAAAATAAAATAGAAAACAAATTAAACTTCCCCCTAATATTTTAGTATTAAATTATTTAAACTCCAGATACCATGCTCTAAACCTACAAATACCTTCCTTATGCTTTAAACATAGTACATTTGTTGACTGATGTTACTCCATAATGGTCTCATTTCCTCAGGGGATATTTTAAGAAATCTTCATGTCATCCAGATCATAAAATGTTTATTTAATCACAGGTATTCATACAAAAATATAGTAATTTACTAGTAAAGGGCCTGAATTCATGCAGTTAACATTAATTTCCAAAATGTTCCATCCTGCTTTTTCTTTAGTAGCGAAACTTTTTTAAACTTCTCAAGTTTATATAAAAATGACAATTTCAATCCCCAAGATTAGAAAAACTCTCAAACAAAAGAAAAATCATGCAAAAATCTGTAGAATAATATGGTTATTAAAAAGTGGATTCTCACAAGGAAACAAAAAAATTGTTAACAATGGGTGGTGATGATATTATATTAACTAAGTTTTTTGTAGTAATCATTTCACAATACATACACACATCAAATTAGTATTCCTAAAACTAATACAATGTTATATGTCAATAATATCTTAGTTTTAAAGAGTGGATTCTTAACATTATGGATACCTACAGATTCTGTAGCACTTAAAATAGTATCATGTACATAGCAAATGCCCAGTAAACATTTGTTAAATGAATGAATTCACTGAGTGGACCCTTAACTCTCTGTTGCAGTTTTATTTTCTTCTTAGTTTTCTCATGCTGGGGATAATTTCTTATGCATCAATCCCCCACAGCATTGTCAATGAATGACTTTGGACAAAAATATTTGATTAAGAAGTTAATTATTACAATTTTAAAATATCATGAAGAGGAAAGGCTGATAATTTGGACTAAATTTAAATTAAGAACTTCTGTTCATAAAAAACACACACACACACAAAAAACACACACCAACATTAAGAGAATGAAAAAGCAAACCACAGAATTAGAGATGCTAATTCCAACACAAATAATAACTGGTTTATACTCAGAATATATAAAACATGTTTAAACTCAAAGTGATTGGATAGGGTTGGGATATTAACTATCACTTAGAAGTACATGGCATTTGAGAAAGTATAGCTACATAAACTCTTCTGAATATTCAACCGAAGGACTTGTATACATGCATATAAGTACAACCAATGGACACAAAACTCTGGGGAGGGAGGGTATGTACGGGGGGGGGGGGGGGGGATTGGTATATATACAAAAATAATAATTTAATTAAAAAAAATAATATTATACAAAAAAAAAAAAAGGTACCATGGAGGCACACCTTATCTCCAAGGCATTTCTCCAAAAAGCAGTAGCAGAGTCAATCACAAATTGATAAAGAATTTTATCATGATATCAACTGCTTGCAGAGTCTCATAGGAACAAATAGAGGTTAAGTGACTTCCCCAAATGTCACACAGGTAGTTGGTAGTCAAGCTGAAGAAAAGCTTATGGCCTGAGATTCCTCTGACTGAGCTGGCCTCTCCATTAGACCTCACTTCCTCTTAACCAGCAGCAGCCGTTATTCTTCTAACAAACAAACTACGATAAATAATGGCCAAATATTTTTCAAAAAGTCTGCATATAATGTTTAAAGAAAAATCACATAACAAAGCTATCTATCTAGGGCAAGTTTTGAAACCTGTAATCCTTTATGCCTGAGGGATCCTTGGGAATGGACTTCAGAGACCTTTGCCAACGCCATGATACTATGTGCTAAATTCTGTACTAGTGTGTATGAAAATTCTGGAAAAGGGATTCACAGGTTTAAAAAGATTTCCAAAGAGGTTCAGATACCCCAAAAGAGTAAATTATTTTTAGACTAGTGATTCTTAAGACACAACATCAGCACTACCAAAGAGTTTCCTCTGAAAACTGGTTATTGACTGTTATTTGGAAATTGATGAGAAAAAAAGAAAATATTTTATTTCTATAATTTATTATGAATAAATTAGCCGCAAAAAAAGACATATAAATTTTTACTTTTTGCACAATTGATACAAAAATCCTATTTTAAGTCTGAAATGCACGATTGATTTTTTTCCTCAGGTTAAGTTGACAGAAAGTCCACTTATTTGTTTCTCATGTACAGTTCACACTTTTGGCTAAAGTAGTTCAAAATGTTCACATTTGCTCAAATTTTTAAAATACATAAATGTTCTTGAAAAATACATTCAAAACATGTAAGTTGGAATGAATGAAATTATTTTTGCTTTAGTCATATTAACTTGCTAACATAACTTTACATGAGTTTTTACAAACTGAAGATTGTTCACCTCAGATCCTCACAGACAGATGCTTGTCTTAGAACTGGTAAAGAAATTAGTTATTCAGATTTCTGATATGATTGTAAAATTTAAAATACCAATAAATCAAAGATAATTATAATTACTTATTGATTATTTTTACATAATGTCTAAAACCTCTGTACACAAAGAATATATATTAAACAATTTTTGCAGAAAAAATAAAATGTTCCATACTATATCATGGGGTTTTTGAGAGACTTTTTTAGAACATGTTTTTTTTGTTTTTGTTTTTTTGTTTTTTGTTAATCCTGAGGACATTTCCCCATTGATTTTTAAAAGACTGGAAGAGAGAGAGAAAGACAGAGAGAAATACATGGATTGGTTGCCTCCTGCATGAGCCCCAACCAGAGCCTGGGGCCGGGGAGAAGCCTGCGACAAGGTATGTGCTCTTGACCAGAATGGAACCCGGGACCCTTTGGTCCATAAGTCAATGCTCTATCCACTGAGCAAAACCAGCTAGGGCCTAAATCATGTTTTAAATTAGGCTAAAATTCATCCCACCACAAATTTCAAATGATTAAGTTTACAGTGTATGCTCAATCACAAACTTTGGTAAAGGACTAGAACAGCACAGATAACTGTCATTCAAAGACACTTTAAAATGTCACCTTATACGGAAGATTCAATCTCTTCTCTTTTTGTACTATACCAAGCTAATACACTAATTTTATATACAATAAGTTTTACTGCTTTTTATCAACCTAACTTCTAAACAGTAAGCATAATAAATGTAAATGCAAATATAATAAGTGCTCAGAAGAAAAAGCAGAATCCTGCCTAATGGGATTTAGTCTTTTAGGCCCCAATATCATAATGATCCCTCTTGCCCCCATCCCTCTTAATCTTACTTCCTCATGGACATCCTTCTCATACTCTCCCCTTAATCTTAAGCATCAATTTTCCCCCTCATTATTAGGTCATTGTGTTTCTTCTATCTTTAATTTTTTTTTAATGTAAAAAGCCTTCCTTTACTCCATCTCTAGTTTTTGTCCCATGTCTATATTCCCATTTATAGCAAAAACTCCCTGAAGTGTTAACCATACTCACTGTTGTCTCCTAGTTCTCTGTTGAACCCACTCAGGGTTCAACTTTTGCCTTCTTCCATTCTTGTTAAGATCACCAATGACCTCTCAGGTGCTAAATACAATAGTCAAGTCTCAGCTCTCACCTCTGGTTCAATAAATATTATTTGACCCCGTAGATAATTCCTTCCTTTTTGAAACCATTTCTTCTCTTGACTCCCAGATGACCACTCATTCTTGATTTTCCTCCTAATCTCTCTGACCAGTCTTCTAGGTTTCTTTTGCTGGTCCCTTCTCATCTCTTAAAACTTCAAAATGTTGGACTGCCCCAGGGCTCAGTTCTTGAAACTCTTCTCATTAGGTAATCTCACTCAGTCTTATGTCTATAAAAGGACGGGTGAACTGGTGACAGACAAATTTTTATCTCCAGCCCAGACCTTTTCCTTGAATTCCAAACTTATGTTCTCAAATGTCCATTGAACACTTGCCAAAACTAAACTCTTGCCTACTGATCCCCCAACCTCCTCCTCAGAATTATCCTCATCACAATAAATGACAACTCTATCCCTTCGGGCCAAAACTTTAAATTTATCATTGACTTCCCCTTTCCCCACATCCTACATCTAATTCAAGAGCTAACCATCTTGTCTCTACCTTCAAAATATATAGACTTTGACCACCACTACCACCTCCTTGGTCCAAGACACCATCATCTTTCACCTAGATTATTCAATTGCCTCCTAAATGGCCTCCCCTCTTCCATCTTTGTCCCACAATAACCTATTGTCTCAGAACTCAGAATAACCTTTTCAAAATCCACACAGATTTAGTTACTCATTGGATCAGAATCCTCCAGTGCC